AGGGTGTACACTCGGGTGCAAAACTGAAAGACTTTGAAGTGCACATAGTCAGCCTACATAGTGAGCTGCTGTTATGAATCTGTGGTTAAAAACAGCACAGCTCAAATATGAGCAGAGAAGACGAGCTCACCTGCTTTCCCGCCCAAATGCGTTTGAATCTAAACGAGATCTTAAAACCGACAAAAATGCTAATTAAAAATGCTAATAGCAATAAAAAAGTACCCAAGCAGTAAAAAAAAAGTACCCAATGAAAGATTTCTTTGACATTATTCCAGTCCGACGTTCCTCTCGAGAGTTAGCTATTTCTGTCAGTGTTTTAATGAGAAGTTCTACTTTCACTCTTGAGTTTCTTTTACTACATTTAACTTTCTCTTCTTCATTTGTATGGATGATGAAGCCCATTATAACTCACTGACATGAGATCAGTTCATGAGATCAGTGAAGTTAAACATGCACATCGAGGGCTTGTTTTCTAAATTATGCTTATGGGTGCACGTCATGAAACCCGTCAAGAACATGATATTTTTCCCATTATATGCCTATATATAGGCCTACCATTCAATAGTTTTAGATCTGTAATTTTTTTGTTGTTTTTGTGAAAGAAGTCTCTTCTGCTCACCAAAGCTACATTTATTTGATTGATAATACAGTAAAAATGAAATTATTATTACAATGTAAAACATCTGTTTTCTATGTGAATATACAGTAAAGTGTAATTTATTCCTGTGATCAAAGCTGGATTTTCAGCATCATTACTCCAGTCTTCAGTGTCACATGATCCTTCAGAAATCACTCTAATATGATGATCTGATGCTCAAGAAACATTTATGATTATTATCAATGTTGAAAACCGTTGTGTGAAATGTTTTCAGGATTCTTTGATGAATAGAAAGTTCAAAAGAACAGCATTTATCTGAAATAGAAAGCCCCTACACTACCATTCAAACGTTTGTGGTCAGTAAGAATTTATTTTGGAAAGAAATTAAACAAAGCTTTCTATTTCATTTACATTTAATCATTCACACAGTTTTATCCAAAGCGACTTATGAGGAGAAACAATAGAAGAAATCAAACCAACAATATCCAATAAGTGCTTTGACTAGTCCTAGCACAGTTTACATAGAAAGGTTTGTTATTTTGTTTAAATTGATATATAGAATATAAGTTTTAGTATTATTGTGTTAAGTGTTGATGAAGAAGATGCGTCTTCGCAAGGCATTTCTTGAAAATCAGCGGTTCGAGATAAATGATCAATGATTTCAGATAAATAAAGTTGTTTTTTAAACTGTCTATTCATCAACGAATCCTGAAAAAAATGTACACGCTGTTTTCAACATTGATAATGATAATAAATGTTTCTTGAGCAGCAAATCATCATATTAGAGTGATTTCTGAAGGATCATGTGACACTGAAGACTGGAGTAATGATGCTGAAAATTCAGCTTTGATCACAGGAATAAATTACACTTTACTGTATATTCACATAGAAAACAGCTGATTTACATTGTAATAATATTTCACAATTTTACTGCATTTTTTAAGAGACTTCTTTCAAAAACATTAAAAAATCTTACGGATCTAAGACCGCAGTGGTCTATATATATATAGTATTTTTTCTACAGTTGGACCTGTTAGTTATTGACCTAGTTATTTTTTATTTTTTTTGTTTTGTGACCCATAACCTTAATAAATAAGGTTATGACACCAAAAACTACTAGCCTAACTCATACAAATTTCAAATATTGTTAAAGACAAGTAAACTGTCCGTAATAAAATAAGAACAAATGATCAAATTAAGAGCAATAGCTCAAATAAATACAATAGAACAAAGATACAAATTAAATAAACAGTTTTTCGGGGTTGGTCTGATAGTAGTTTTCAGGTAGAACAATTTAATAATCAAATGTCAAATGTAAAATACAGTCGTCTTCACTGAATAAATAAAAAATAGATGAATCCTTATTATTCAGTCAAGAGCAGTGTGATTTTTTTTCTCTTTATTTGATTAACATAAAAACGCAGCAGGTTTATTAGGGTACTGTCACTTTAAGAGCTACAAGGATCCAAAATACCGTTACACATATTTTATTTCTCAACTGTATGTACATTATATACATACTTTTTGACAGGTTTCTAAGACACTCACCCATATGAAACATTTACAGTGTTTAAAGTCTTTCAGTTAGACTCAAACCTGTGTAATCATAAAGCACATTAATAAGATAACTCAAAGGAAAGAGCGTTTCTGAATCAGCTTTACGTTTTAGTTGGTAACCTTGATGAAGCATCGTGATAATGCGGTGGTCATATATCCTCTTCATCACACACACTGGCAATGTTCAAAATGACATTTAGACCTTTATCAAACTGATGTCATATAGGCTAACACTCGTTTAAAAAAAAGAGCGAAGCTTTATGTAGTTTAAGCACAGGCCACTTCCTGTCGGCTGCACGTGTTACATGTGTGTGTTGTACACTCGAGTCATACTTCAAAATATCGTTGCATTATATAAAGTATAATAACTAAAATGCTGCAAGACTTTCTGTATTGTTTTACCATTTCAAACCATGCAAACTACTTTTTTTTTTTCTTTTTTTTTTTTTTTTGTGAGCTTTATTAATCCTCGTTGGGCAATTAGTTTGAGCTTACATGGTGCCTCACATAAAACACTTAGCACATACATTCAAATACATAAAAATAAATAACTTTTATAACGATTTTGAATATGTGAACATAAAAAAAAATGTCTAACCTCCCAACTACAAAAAAATCTAGTGACTGGTCACATCTAAAAATTGCAATTGGCCAAGTGAAATTCTGCTAATTTAATTTGATCACTTTGCAGAATTTCACTTGGGCCAATTGAACATTTTAGATGTGACTAAAATTTTGAGTTGGCAAGTTAGAAATGTTTACAGTGTGCTTTCTTTGTTGGAGTTTCAATTTGGTTGTAATTCAGACATTGTGAAGTGTGACATTGTGAAGTATGCCACACCACACACTCTGGAAAGTACTGGGTTGTTTCAACACATGTTTGGGTCAAATATAGACAAACTTAACTGTTAGGTTTAAAAAACCAACGGTTGGGTTGAAACAACCCAGCATTTTTAGATTGCATTATGTTCTGGTGGAAACAAGAAAAAAACAATACTCAAAGACACATTGATGGTAAAGCTGCAGTGAATGACTGATATGACTATAAAGTTTCATTTATGAGTCACTCAGTAACTGTTGCTCGCTCATGTGAAGTAATGCTTCCCCATCGGGGTGAAAGGTGACGATTCTTGAGAGCCACAATAACTCAATTTCTTAATTACAGAGTTTATGATGTGAATGCACAAAGACTGTTAGTGATTGACAGCTGTGCATGTTACAATTTCCTAACAACACTTGTATTGTCTTAACCCTTATGTTGTGTCCAGGTGAGTTTTCCTGTGTCTGAAAATGCTAGTAGATGTTATTGCATCGGACTAAATACTTTACTCAGCCCAAGTTTAATTTTTTTTTTGTTTGTTTTTCCCCCACATTGTAACACTGGTGTTCCCGGTCAAAAAACACCCGGCCTGCAAAATATGCTTATAAATCTCTCATTATGCTGCATCATCACCAAATATTGGATTCAATATTTTTGTCAGCTTCTTGTCTTACAATTCAACAGGTTTTATATTTCTTTTTGGAACTGATCAACCGTAGGCCTCATTTATCTGAGCTTACGTATATCTCAGTTTTTGTGTGAAAATAAAAGTTTTTTTTGTGGACTATTCTGTCAATTTTGCATAAAATATGAAAACAATGTGCACTGTTTATCACAGTAGTGTGCTTTAATGTTTAACCAGGAAATTTGTTTTGAAACGCTTTTACTTTGTACAAAATGGCACAATCAGTCTTGTGGTATTCATGGTCAAAAATGACCAGCCAACAAAATAATAGCTCATAAATCTCTTGTTATGCTATTTTATCACCAAATATGGGATTTGTTTAAACTTGTTTTCTTGACAGATTTTGTATTTATTTTTGCCCAGGAACACCACAAGTGTTATAGGTTTTTCAACACAGCACAAGGGTTAAACTTCGTGCTTGCATTAATAAAAAATATCTTCAAATGATGTATTAATGCTTATAGTTTTCACTCTTAAGTGATCAAAGATTTACAGTATTTTTTTTATTTGATCATATTGCCATGTTGTTGTAGGCCTTCTAGAGCACCTATACTGGATCAAGGAAGTATGATATAGTAGTAATGCAAAAAAAGCATAAAAAGTTTTACGTTTTGAGGTAAAAGCGGCGTGTAAACAAGAGTTTTATCATCCTCCAAGTCCAGTCGCTTTTGAAAGTAACAGCACTCCTTTCCTGATAAACAAGGTGGACCATTAAAGCTATCATGTCCATTGCATAAATGTTTTTAGATGAGTTACATGCAGAAGATTACTGCAGGTCAGATCAATAACCATAATATTACAAATCTGAGCTCTTAATTCTGTTTCTACGGTGGATCAAAACCTTTCATCAAAGTTATACATACATTTTGAACAATACCCGTTCTCGTCTTAGGACACTTTTTGTAATCCACTTCAAATGTTGACTACTGTACTTCACGACTGCTAAAAAGTATGTACTTTATAGTATGAATGTCTTTTTGGACGTACTACATTCGTCATGTTGTCTCCCGTGGCCTCATGGGATAGTAACCTGTCCATTATTTGCACACTTCAGGACCTCACTGGAAGTAGTAGGCCATCCAGTACTTTTTGCTTGTATACTACATACTACTTTTGTCACACACTGTTTTGTGTGGTTTCAAAAACGCAGCCTGTGTAATGTGAAGGTGCTGCTTTATTTCTGTCAGGAGTTTGAAGAGTGACAGCGCCCTCTCGTGGTGTCTTTTAAAATGACTGGCCATATTAAAAACACAAAATGCTGTTTATAAAACTTTAATGTTTAAATCCTTTACATGGAATAATCAAATCATTTATCCATCATCAAATGCACTCCAAATACAAATAGAAAAGAAAATTATAAAACAAACGAAATAACAGACAATAGCAGAGTGTGTGTGTGTGTGGCAGTGTTCATGTTTTAACAGCCGTGTCTCTGGAGCGGTAGATGACGCCTCTGCTCTTCAGCTCTCGCACCACACCTGACACACAACAGAATCAGACTCATGTGAGTCACTTTAAACATATTTCAAAGTGATATGCTTTACATGCCAACATTTTGATTGAAAACACACACTGTCCTTTATTGCAGTCATGAGAGAGACATTGATGAACAAGATCAAAACCCGACCCTCACCTGGAGGTAACCGACCCGTCACTGTCACGGCATAGACACCTGGCTTGAAGTTACCTGAGAAAGACATGGACATTATTGAACTGACGCCATCAACAACACTGTTGTCTTCTGCTTAAAGCTGAACTCAACTCGTTTCAGAACTGAATAATAATGACTATAATAACTATTATCATGTATAGAGGAGCTTTATCATTGCACTGAGTTCTTCATAATTGATGAAGTTTGCAACATTCACTCTGTTATTGAGCTGAATAATGATATTGTTGTTGTTTTATTAGAGCTGCTTTACAGCTGGAACTGTGTTTGTTTCATAATTGAAGAACTTCGCAACATTAAAGGGTTAATTCACCCAAAATTGAAAATTATCCCATCATTTACTCACCATCAAGCCATCCTAGGTGTATATGACTCTTCTTTCAGTCAAACACTATCAGAGTTATATCAAATAATATAATGGCAGTGAATAGAGCCCGAGTTTTTGAAGCCCAAAAAAAGCGCATCCATCCATCATAAAAGTTATCGGTAACGCTTCCTTTTACGGTCCTGTTCCCCATGTACATACTATGTACTTATTATAGTAACTATAATTACTGGGTAATAACTAGGTACTAACCCTGAACCTACCCCTAACCCATGTACTTACCTTATATTAGCCAGTACTTTCTAGGTAAGTACACTGTAAGTACACATAAGTACTGTACTGTAAAAGGAAGCGTTACCAAGTTATCCATACGGCTTTATGGGGTTATTAAATACCTTCTGAAGCGAAGCCATGCGTTTATCAAGTTATAAACATGGATGTTTTATATACTTTGCTTCAGAAGGCCTTTATTAACCCCCTGGAGTCACATGGATTACTTTTATGATGGATGGATGCGCTTTTTAGGCTTCAAAATCTCAGACTCCGTTCACTCCTATTATAAAGCTTGGAAGAGCCAGGACATTTTTTTTATATAACTCTGATTGTGTTTGGCTGAAAGACGGATGTCATATACACCTAGGATGGCTTGAGGGTGAGTAAGTTATGGGATAATTTTCAATTTTGGGTGAACTATCCCTATTGCTGATTTGACTGCTGCTATTGCTCTCTTCATCTGTAAGTTGCTTTGGGTAAAAGCGTCTGCTAAATGAATAAATGTAAATTAAATACTTACCGATTCGTTGCCATTTTGCCACCCAACTGTCCTCTGGACTCATCATAGCAATGACACTGTAATGAAGAAGACATCACACATTAGTGTTGAAATGAAATCCAACATGTGTCAGTGTCCTTTCAAACTAAAGTTCATCTCTAACACACTGTAACTTTCCAGACCAGTGTGATTCTCCTTCTTAAGCGGTATTGATTATTTGATGGTGCTTTTAAAGTGTAAATCACCACATATTCTATTTGTTTATGGTCCTTGGAAGAAAGCAAGCGAGCCATACAGGTTTACACCGACATGAGGGAGAGTACATATCTATTTAACTATTCACCCATCAAAAGAAGAGCTTGTGCATTCATAAACCATCTCCCGGTTGCCCTTCATCTGCAGGTATGATTCACAGTTGTCACATCCGTCATACTCGAACTGATCAATAGTCTGAAACAAGAGAAGATGAGATGATGTTCATCAAACATTTTCCCTTAGTCTTCCTTTACACATTAGCCACAGTCACCGGCAACTACTAGTAGTAATTGTGATGCTACCTATGATTAGCAAAGGGTATTATCTACGACTGTATCTAACAGCATACTGTGCATTTTATGACTGTAAGAGGCAGAATGATGTTTATATGTAATACATTTTTTTTTAAAACGTAGCATGGTCATGTTTTGCAGTTTTGGATATGGCAAACCCGTTTTGTTAATGATCTTGTTATTGTACTTATCTGCTCTATCTAAACATTTCAATATGTAAATATGTCAATGATAAAACCATCTGTTATCATAAATGTCTCATTTTACCTTGACAAGAGAGCACAACAGACACGCTCTCAAATGGCGCAGATCTTTCGGGACAGTGTCCAGAGACATCCCTGTTGCTTTAACGCAATAACTGGAAATTAAGCAAAAATAATCTTAATAGATGCCTCGGAACAACGATTGTTTGTTGTTAGCGCTTGTTAGCTACAACCGCACATTCGGCGACGCTTAATGACGTCACAGATATGCGCCGCGTGTATCGTGACGTGAAATATTTGTTGTTTATTTATTTTGATTAATATTATTCTTATGTATGTATTGTGTTGTGTATATATTTTTTTCTAATTCTGTCGCGAAGTTGGATTTAGATCTGTAGTTTGTGACCAATGAGCGGCTACGTTCCAAAAAGAACACAAAATAAGAGTCTCACAGAGTTGCACAGAATTGTTGGAATGGAAATGACATAATGAATATAAACACAAAGCCAATTAAAGTATTTCATAACATTGTTTTCAACAAAATTTGTTTCAAACTAATTTAAACTACACAACAGCCGTTAGAGATCGCTGTTATAGAGGTCGCGCGAGACTCATTCTGATGCCGTTTAAATGTGTTCTATGTGAACGCGCATAACGGTTCCAGTAACGGTTCTTGGAGGAGATGGTAAATATATAAAGAAGCGTAAAGACATCAATTGATCAATTATCATTAACAAAGTTTAATATATTTTGATAAAATAACGTTACGTGTGTTGTTGTGTAGCTACTATTACTATGACAACTTTTATGTCTATTGAATATTTTGGTAACACTTCACAGTAAGGTCTCACTAATTATCATCAGTTAACAATGAGCAATACGTTTGTATTTATTAATCTTTCTTAACATTAATAAAAATACAACTGTTACTTCATGTTAACTCTGGTCCATTAAATAATAATAACAGATAAAACATTTGATTTGATGTATTGCAGAATAGTATTTTTCATGGCTAGTTAACTAACGTTAACGAATGTAACCCCATTGTAAAGTGTTACCAATATTTCTAATGATCTATTCAATCTATCTATGAACTAATGTCGTAATAATGTGTTAAAGTTGTTGTATAGTGTTGAATATTTAGTGATGTTTATGTAGTTTCCATCATCTGCAGGTCATGAAGTGAAAGATTATTTGATTTGATTGTCACAGAACATGGATATGGGGTTTGATCATTCTCTTCTCCAAGTCCACATTAACTACAATAACTTTCCAGCTAAGTTATGGGGTTTGACAAACGATCCCAAGAACAACTCAGTCTTCTGGAGCCCAAATGGAGACGGTTTGATTGTCGACCAGCAGCGTTTCGAGGACGAACTGCTGTCACCGGTCAAACAAGACGCTAAACTCTTCAAGACCACCAACTTCACCAGCTTCATCCGACAGCTCAACCTGTACGGCTTCCGGAAGCTGTTCGACGGGCCATCCAAAGACAGACACCGAAACCTGCACCACTTCCACAATCCCTTCTTCAGACAGGGCCGGCCAGAACTTCTGGTCCATCTGAAGAGGCTGACCATCAGTAACAAGGCCAAGATCCTGGCCGGAGAGGAGGTGACCTGTCGACCCCCTAGTCGAGTCCATCACCAGCCTCAGCCAAACACTACAGAAACAGAGAATACAGGCCAGTTCAACTCTCATACTAATCAAACATGTATAAAGTTAATACGGTGGTAAGAGACAGATTTGAGGAATCATGCATGCATGTCTGGATGAGTTACTCTACAGGGTGTGTAAAGTCTGACAAATGAAATAATAGTCAGAAAATCAAATTTGTGTGTGCAGTTGAAAAATTTGTACGTTATCATATTTGATACATCAAGCTTTTATGACTAATTTAGTATGATAAAGTGGGAATATGGAGGAAAACACAGAGGCCCAAACTGAGAAAAATATGTAATTTGGTGCAGATGTTGATTGATATTTATATAACAAGATGAAATTCTGCTTTTATATGTATATATTATAAAATTTGGATTTCACATTCATTTCTTATTCAAACAATATCCAGTCATCTCCTCCCTTTCCTCATCCTTTTCACCAAAAATGTGTTTTAGGTGGGCAGATCAATACAGTACAAAGAACATAAAATAAAAAAGTAGGATGTTGGAAAATAAAAGTCTTTTCTGTTAACCAAATGCTTTAATCTTCGCTATTGCTTCAATGCAAATGAACAGGCGCGCCGTTATTTGTTGCGTAGTGTGTTCAAGTAAGCCAGATATGCACAGATTCTGTGCAATACTCTGTATTTAATATATCATGATGACTCACGAGTTGAGTTTTTGTGCTAAATCTGCGCAGATTTGTCTTACACGAACTTCCCAGCAAAGTGAGTAAACATAATATGTAACACGCCAAATAGGCTCGTGATTTGACAGCGTTACCCGCCACAGTTGATTTGTACCTGCATTCGGCGGGTGTTAATTTCAAACCCTGGTTATAAGGGTGTGGTTGGACCGTCTAGCTCCACCCATTACGTCCAGCGGGGGCGGAGCTGGACATCAAGCTCCACCCATTGTCTCTGCAGTCTCTCATTAGGATAGGTGCATGACGCCCCTGGATAGGTCAGGTAAAATACAATTCTGTTGCTTTAAATCTTTTAATGTTCTACAAACTACTCAAAAAGTTTTTCATGCTCATTTCTTAGGTTCTGCACCCCCCTATCAGCACATCAGTGGCGCATCCCATCAGCTGAAGGGGTTTGACAGAAGCCTGATCCCTCCCCACTCCTGGATCGTTCCTTGCAGGGATGCGCCTCCTTTCTACCCTAACAAAGGCATCCCGGTGTCTGTGATCCGCTCGTATCCGTACAGCGCTCCTCATAGAGTTCAGTCCAGTCCCACTGCCCTGTTCCCACAGGAGACGAAATATATCCCACATCACCTGTCCTATCCTCCTGGATTTTACTCGCCAGGTACAGACTTAGATTTGCAACATTGCATCAATTCATCTCGAATCGGTGTTTTCAGTGTATTTTGTATTTTCTGCAGGAAACAAAACACATTTTTCAATTATTTCCTCTAGACAGCAGTGAGAGCAAACAGAGACTTGGCTTAAGTAATATTTGTCTTCTAAGAAGTAATCAGTAATCTCATATGTGTCTTGAGTTTCAAATGTGCTCAGATTTGCCAACGTCTGCAATCAAACATCAGATTAATAAAAAAAAAAATCGTATTTGTTTTATTGCATTTCTCCCTAGAAATTGTAGGAGCTTATAAATGTTAGCTTATAAATCTACTGTACTGGTGTGTGTGTGTGTGTGCTTTCTGTAGTTTGTCAGGGTTGCACTGCTGGCTTTATGGAAGCAGATCGAACAGGTGGAGATCAAACATCTCTGTCATATGCAGCACATTATGCTTATTACCCGGTGAGACCCACTACACAGTTGATATGTTGACAAACATTATTGCACATCTTTCTGATCATTCATATTCACAAATAACTATGTTTCAGTGAACAATTACTGAGTGAATCTGTAAAAAATGTTCATGGCATATTACTCTCAATATTCAAAAGTTATGAATCGCATGAAACCTGCCAAGTCAAATGTCATTGTCCTATTTACACACACACACACACACACACACACACACACACACACACACACACACACACACACACACACACACTAACCCGACCCCTAAACCTACCCATCACACACACACACACACTAACCCGCCCCCTAAACCTACCCATCACACACACACACACACACACACTAACCCGACCCCTAAACCTACCCTTCACACACACACACACTAACCCGACCCCTAAACCTACCCATCACACACACACACACACTAACCCGCCCCCTAAACCTACCCATCACACACACACACACACACTAACCCGACCCCTAAACCTACCCTTCACACACACACACACTAACCCCACCCCTAAACCTACCCATCACACACACACACACACTAACCCGCCCCCTAAACCAACCCATCACACACACACACACACACACACTAACCCGCCCCCTAAACCTACCCTTCACACACACACACACACACACACTAACCCGACCCCTAAACCTACCCTTCACACACACACACACTAACCCGACCCCTAAACCTACCCATCACACACACACACACACTAACCCGCCCCCTAAACCTACCCATCACACACACACACACACACACACTAACCCGACCCCTAAACCTACCCTTCACACACACACACACTAACCCGACCCCTAAACCTACCCATCACACACACACACACACTAACCCGCCCCCTAAACCTACCCATCACACACACACACACACACTAACCCGACCCCTAAACCTACCCTTCACACACACACACACTAACCCGACCCCTAAACCTACCCATCACACACACACACACACACTAACCCGCCCCCTAAACCAACCCATCACACACACACACACACACACACTAACCCGCCCCCTAAACCTACCCATTACACTAAACTTTCTGCATTTTTACATTTTCAAAAAAAAAAATTTTTATACCAGATTTACACATTTATATCAGACGTCACTAAAGGGAGGTTTTTGGAGATTTTGTCAGATTTCGGTCACTTCTGGTCTGGGTACAAGTTTGTCCCCAAAATATGGTTAAATAGGTACACCCCCCCCACACACAGACTTGTTTCATGAGATTCATTCTACAGCATTCTAAAGATGTTCATTATCATTACCCTAGCAGAACTATCCAGTGAGCCACCATCACAACAGCATCCAGAGCTCAAACTGGGCAGCACACGGTCCGCCTGAGTCTCAGAGAGGCGACGTGAACCTGGACACAGTCTTCCAGATGGTGGACGAGTTCCAGGGTTTGCCTAACGTCCACATAGTCCGCGTGGGAACCCCAGTGAAGCCCCTGCACTCCTCCAGCCCTCCTCTCTGCACTTTACCTGCGGGATCCGTCAGTCCTCCGAGAGACGAGCGTCCGTCTGTCATCACTCAGTTCATCAAACTAGAGCCAGAGGAACAGGAGCTGGACAATCCAGGAGTCCAGCTCTCAGAAAACCCTTCAACATCTCTGGAGTCCTCAAAAAAGGTTCAAAGACGCTGGTGTCTTCTTTGCTGGTCTTTAATTCAATTCAATTCTCATTTATTTGTATAGCGCTTTTCACAATACACATCGTTTCAAAGCAGCTTTACAGAAAATGCATGAGTCCACATTACAATTTAGAGTGATCTGTTATCAGAGGAAACTGTCTAAGTTATGTATTTCAGAAATGTACAAAATCACAGTTAGCGAAAAAAATTTTTATTTAAACAATGTAATAATTGAATGCAGAAACAATGAGCTCACTGAAGTGATGAATACTCTTTAAGCAGTGTTGGGTGTAACAGTAACTAGTAAAGTAAAGCATTATATTACTTATAAATTTACAGTTATTATTAGAGTTATTTTTTCAAATAAGTAATGCAAGTTACTTTGTTTTCCCATGTATTGACTGACACCTCTTCTGTCGTGAGTAAATTGATGGCTAGTTCTACTAAATGTGAGCATTTACTCATCCCACTGGCAAAAACCAGAATCAGAATTCCTCAAAATGAATGAAATCAGTGAAATGCAAAATCAGAATACTACATAAACCTCCAATAATTAAATATATTAAATAAAACAAATATTTGTATGCATTTAATCTCACTTTATTGACAAATGTACTTGCTGCTGATCTTCAATAATACAGTTATACTGAAAGCATCCACTTCAGCCTTATTATTAAAATTTTGGTCAAAATATAGAACTTAAAATATAGAACATTAGGATAGATAATTTTGGTTATTAAAAAAAAACTAAAAAACAAGCCCAGCCCAGGTGAGAAGTAACGCAAAAATAATGTAACTCTTACCTTTCTTTAAAAGTAACTAAGTAAAGCAATTTAGTTTTTAAAGGGGTCATATAATGTATTTTTTTTCTATGTACATTTCTGAAATGCACTTTCTGTAAAGCTGCTTTGAAACAATATGTATTGTGAAAAGCGCTATACAAATAAATTTGAATTGAATTGAATTGAATATAATGTCATTTTTGTACAAGCTAATATGATTCTTTAGGGTCTAAATTAAAAGTTTGTAATATACTTTAATTAAAAATTCTCATTAGTATTGTAAGAAAACACTTATTTTACCTGGTCAAAAACAGCTCTGTTTTCAGCACGCCGTTTCAGTGCATATGCCTTTAAAAGATAATGAGTTTTGCTCACCCCGCCTCTCTGTTCTGTGCATACACCGTTTGTAACACAATAACACAATAACCATAACGCGTTGTTCAGTATAAACGTGGGATTATGAATTATATTGAGAACGTCATACATAGAAAACATGCCGTAATGTACCCTAAGTGTAAACCTCATTGTGCGTGCCTCACGATTCATTGTGAAGCGTGCAGCTAGCGCTTTGCAAAGATTAATATAAATATTAATATAAAGTTTAATAAAACGTTACACTCACTTCAGTTCTTCTAGAGCAGCGGTTTTCAATAGGTGAGGCGCGCCTCCCCTGGGGGGCGCCAAAGAGCCACAGGGGAGGCGCGACATGCGAAGAAAGATTAACATACATTGCTGCTAGGTCAGACTGTTAACGTTAGCTAAATATTTATTGTAGAACATCCTATGTAGCTTACTAAAAACATTCTGTGTAGGCCTACCATGAAAACGAATCCACTTTAAACCGCAGCATTTTTCTGTCAGTAATGTATGACAAGTAGTGCTGTCAACGTTGACACATGCGATTAATTTTTGCCCAGCTTCAACGTGTTAAAGTATTTAACGCAGCATTCGTTCTTTCTTTCATCCTTCAGCTAGGGTTATATGATCACGCTCTTATTCGCGCAAATGCTCTTAATAGGGTTGCCAACTTTCTGAAATGGAAATAAGGAACGGGGGGGGGGGGGGGGGGGGGTTTAGAAAAATAATCCCTGAAATTCATACATTTTATATCATATTATAATGCAACTTATTAGGCCTATATATTTATAGAATAGCAAAGTAGGCTTAATCAAAATACAAGACTTAAACACACAGATATAAAGGCTATCATGATCATTTTGCCAAAAATGAACCATGTATTTTGTTTAGATTATAATACGTTTTATTTTTAACAACATATATCATTCGAAACTCATCGGCTTAGACTGCATTTGAAGAAAAATAAACACAACCGTTTTCTGTAGCCTTGTGCGAACTTATTCAATAGAATTAGACTTCTAGAATGTTCTTTCCAGTGCAAAAAAAAAATCTTTTTTAATTTTAGTAGTTTTTCTTATCATAGCCTACAAATTAGTGATGTGTCGTTCATGAACGATTCGTTCATTTTGAACGAATCTTTAATATGACTCGGGACTACCGAGTTGTCTCAGAGAGTGATTCGTTCATTTTGTGTTGATCGCGCATGCGCATTGAGCAACATATGGTTTCTGAATCTGTACTGGAAATGATTAGTTCATCTCTCTCGAGTTCGGGTTCGGGACGGGTCCGAGTCTTTCGTTCTTCCTGTCAGTCCCATAGAGGCTATGCTGTCAGTACCGGAAAGAGTAATGATTAGTTCATCTTCTGAGTCTTCGGGTTTGAGTCCTTCGTTCTTTTGTCACGTGACGTGTCACCGTATTGAATAGCCTACTAATTCACAACCTTTTTACAAACAAGCACGTAGTTAATGTATAATATAATAGTAGTTAATTAATGTATAATATATAATAAAACACACCACAGATGCACAAGAAACATTTAAAGAAACGGACAGGGACAATAATAAGATGAAACTTTTATTTTTCAGATAATGTTTATTTCACATATTTTGTATTTTAATTCCTAAATATAAAACAATATACATTCAGACGCAGTCAATAATACGAATCTAATATTGTATTTGATGCGAGATACCAGCGGTCACGTGACAAAAGAACGAAGGACTCAAACCCGAAGACTCGAAGAAAATGAACTAATCATTACTCTTTCCGGTACTGACAGCATAGCCTCTATGGGACTGACAGGAAGAACGAAAGACTCGGACCCGGCCGAACCCGAACTCGAGACTCGAAAGATGAACTAATCATTACTCTTTCCGGTACTGACAGCATAGCCTCTATGGGACTGACAGGAAGAACGAAAGACTCGGACCCGGCCGAACCCGAACTCGAGACTCGAAAGATGAACTAATCATTACTCTTTCCGGCCCTGCTGTATCACACACGGCACGGCCCAGCAGACAGATCAGAGTCAGACACTGACGAGTCGACAACTAACGTCTCGAGACACAAGAGGAGGAGAACAAACCTGATAAATATGAAGTTGCAAAGGAAAGAACGTCTCGGATGAGGAGGTGAGGTGAACTAACAGAATCAGACTGCAATAGCCTGAACTTAAAACCCAACAACTAATCAATTCATAAAAATTTCGGTTTCTTATAATTTGGCTTTGGCTGCATTACCCTATAATTTATTTTTATTCTTTTTACAAATGTAATCAACATTTTCGTAAGTTCTAGATGTGTTGGGATATTTAACATGCCATTTTAATTATATTATGCTGAAATGAACGAAATGACTCGAAAAAAGATTCGTTCATTTTGCTGAACGAGACTCAAAGATCCGAGTCAGTAAAATGATCCGAACTTCCCACTACTACTACAAATGTCTTCGGAAACATATTTTACTCGATTTACTGAAGCCTGTAAAACGCATTTGCAGCTGCACAGCTTGCACATTGAGCGTCTGGCTCGCTCAGGCTGCGCTGCGGCAACTGCACATCCAATGGCGCGGGCGCCTCTGACGTGCGACCAATGAGCCAACTCTACGTCATTACACGTCAGAGCCCGTCAAGGTGGCGCCAAGTCCCCGAATTTGCCATTATAGCAGCGGGTCTTCGTTCATTCATCATAGTCTGTCTGACATATATATTAGAAGCTATGCGTCTGTCATGGATTTGCACTGAACTGATTCTCAAAAATACGGAACAAAGTGCGTTCCGTATCAGTTCAATACGGAACAAGCCTTTCATGTGTCAAATACGGAACGATTCCGTATTATACGGAACGGTTGGCAACCCTAGCTCTTAAACCATTCATGCGCGACAAGACAAAAGAGAACGCGCTGTCAGTGAATGTCCTCCTGACACACACACACACACACACACACGACTCACAGAAAGACGCGCGCCAGTATCGAGTTCTCTTTCGCGCTTGAACGAACAATAACACACACATTTATGCCAAAATGTTCTCTTTGTCGAGTATCCTCACAATACCAGTCTTAAATTAATTAAAAAAAAATCTTAAATGGAAGTAAAAGTGAGAATGAGATGCGTGAGATCCTGTCTGCAGATCTTAAAGTGACAGGAGCCACAATTCTCTCTGTCAGTAAAGTTAACCAAAGAGCAAAGGGAACAGAGAAAATTACTCCCTGTTCTTGACTAAAGAACACTTGTAGCTTTAATAAGGATTAATCTATATTTCATTTATAATTTATGCAGTGCGGACTGTTTTATAACCTTATTCAATTTCTGTATATTTCATACCTGTTAGACAGGAAAGGCACAGGTAAATATGACATTTATTATGGGTTTAAGTGAGGATTGTTTTAAGTTAACTTAAATAAATTTTTTTTATATTTTTTGAAGCCTAATAAATGTTTAAAATTTCGGGAAAAATCATTTTCATGGAGACATCAGTAGCTATATTAATATCAGTGATACTGGCCTTCATTCATAAAAAGATGGCATTAACATACAGCCATAATACTTGAAAATAAATGGTTCCACTGAAGATAAGTCCGTCTGTGCAGTTTCAGCCATCGGGTGTCGTCAGCGTTGGCGCCGATTACACATGTTAAGCATGTTTTGTTAACTTGTGGTTAGGACTACTGATGTTCAATGTTCAATTTTAAAAGTAGCCTCAATTAGGTCTGCATGAAGTTGGAAATGATTTGCTGTTGCAAAGAATCGTTTATTAATGCACTTTTAAAAAGGTCGTGGAAATAAAATGTCTTCAAATACAATATTTTAAAATATTAAAAAAAAAATCAAAATTTATCAGTTTTTATTGAAACTCATCATTGCCTGGAACACACAAAATATGGCATTTACTGCAGAGGCGTGTGTGGGTTAGTGCCGGCGGTCGGGATTTTGGGGAAGGGGGGGGGGGGGGGGGGGGGGGGCTCGGCTGTCCTTACCTACTGTAAGGGGAGGCTCATGTTCACCCAATTTGAAAACCCCTGTTCTAGAGGTTCAGCAGGAACACGAATATCTGGTACCGATCCTTTATTTCAGGAGCAGCTTCTTAGCAAATCCAGCTTTATACTGACCCTCGTTTATAAAGCAGTCTGGTGTGAAATGATTCGCGCAAAGATGAGAGCATTGACGTTGCTCGTGGGGAATATTCCCTTCGAAAACAAACTCAGCCACTGCGTCTTCAGCGGTTCGGATTTAGGAACATTAAAATGACTGTGTTCGTTATTACACCCAAGAACAGAACACCACAATCGCTTAGACGCCATTCTGCTCATAGACAGTGCTCCAGCATATCAACAATGACCGCGCCGCTCCGCGCAGACTATGATTGACAGCTCGTTCACGAGCGAGGGCGGGTCTGTGTTGAAACGCTGCTGTCAATCAACAATCGTGGGAGGGGCTTCCGAGCTTGTGACGTCACACGGTCGAACGGCTCAATTTGAGGCAGGGGAAAACATATAAGGAGATTAAAACAAAAACACTGGATGGATTTTTATCATTATATGATGGTTGTGTACAGACACTGCCAACACACATTTCAGTACAATCAACTTGTAAAAGTGCGTGTACCATTATATGACCCCTTTAAGGGGGTAACGCAATATTGTAAAGCATTACTTTTCAAAGTAACTTTCCCCAACACTGTCTTTAAGTGTGTGTTCACTAGCATCACAGGTTGGCCCAGGCTAATAGCATAAAGACTGATGATGTTTTATTTTTGAATGGTGAACAACATTGAAGCTAGATTGATGCTATAGTGAAACCCTTTGTAAATCAGATTTCAGATCAGAAACGGACAGCAGAAGACTCGTGAAACACTCCCTGCTGCTGCTGGAGGTACGACACTTTCACATTACGATATGTTTTTACATAATCATTCAGATTGTTTTTTAATTGTTACTTTTTATGACTTAATGGTTGTTATTATATGATCCACAGATGACAGGCAGGATTCATCAGCATATGCACATGACATATGAACAATATATCAAAAAAACAAAACTCTTATTGATAACATTTAAAAAAATGGTATGAATTATTTAAGAAAGTTTCGCTTTTGTGTGATTTCAAGTAGTTTTATGTTAATATTGCATGCTAACCCCCCCCCCCCCCCCCCCCCCTTAAAATTCTGACTTTTAATTGTAATGGTATTTTTATGCTAAATACACATGCTTTTAATATCTATAGTGAAAGTGATATTTTATGATATATTTCAGTATTTATAAGCATCCATATATAGTTAATATATTTAACAGCACAAGAGTGAAAGTCAGATTTTAATTGCCGTGAAATGACCTGATTTGTTTTCAGCTTTTTTGAATTTGAATAAATGCAAAGCGAGTGAAAACCCTGATAAAGGCTGAACGAGTGTCATTGTTTTGTGTTATTTTGATGGCATAGTCAAATTATTTTATTATAAACCTGCTCAAGTCATGATAAATGATTAATACACTAAATCTTAATTTCCCTTAGGATTTTATTCCTATAACTCATACAGTACAGACTGTTTAAAAGGAGCTTGACAGTAATAAACAGGAAAATAACCGAATTAATGATGCAAACTTCATCAAATATGAGCCGAATTCAAATTCTGATGTAAAGCTCAATTCAGATTATGTAGTTGAATCAGTCTAGTGCTTTTTAGCGTAATTAAATTGTTTAACATTTTTTCAACATGTTTTACTTTTAACAGCTGTCATGCAATGAATAGAGGGATAATGATTATTCGGTCATTACAAGCCTATTACATTATTTAATGAAGTAATTATGTTGTAGTGATGATTACTTTCGCGTCATGTTTAGTACACTCACGTGAAAATAATGCTCTATTAGTTTTGGGTTTGATTTGCAGAAACTGACTGTAATTGTGATGTTTCTCCCCTGATGTGAGCTAGAGGGCGCAGTATGTGTGTGTGTGTGTGTGTTTAATGGGTCGGATCAGTTCTGCTGTTCTGCTCCACCCTCACTGACAGTCAGCAGGTACACACACACACACGCTCGCACTCTCTCAACTTTAAACTTTTCCAGCGTTCCTGCTGTCCGGATCAACAGCACTGAGACTTTACTTCGGGACAGCGCGTGCGGACTCTACACATGAAGTGACTGGATTTCTCGACATGGATCTGTGGAGATTTAATTTGAGTCGAACAGGTTTGTGAAGTAACAGCAGATTGATCTTAATTCATTTAGGAACATGGAAATGAACGTTCAGAAAGAGCTCTCTCTCTCCCTGACAGTGCTTTCGATCTCTCCTGCAAAGCTAATCATATTTTTCCCCGTCGCATTTTATATGTTGGTCCTCACGGGAAACATCTCCAGGCGTTCACACTGGGATTATAAACTCTTATGAATATTTTCTTCGGGTTTATGAGCGGAATAACTGATACATTGTTGCATTGATGGAGACGGTGATTCTGCGACAACCTGTTACATTCTGGAATGTTTGGAATCCTTTGAAGTGGACGCGGCGTTTCGCACAATAACGGAGTCAGCATGACGTCACCGTATCAATCACGACGCGCGGGAATCGGTAAAACCATCGATCTGTAGGAGATCACATCAAACCCTGTAAAGTTTTGTCACTTAAACCAATGCTCACGCCAGGAGTCAGTCCGCTGTCAATCACTGGCTCTCAGTCACATTTCACCACCTGTCAATCATGTTCAGTCAGTGATACAGGCCAGTCAAACAACTAACATTTAATACGTTCCATTTGTTTAGATTTGCAAATAGTTGTTAATACTATTCTTACATCACAACACAACAATTCACTCTAAAAGCCATTGGATTTTTTTTTTTTTTTTTTGGACAGTTTTAGTGACCCCTGTGGATTCTAGTGTTTTTTTTTTTTTTCTGGACGGATAGGTTTGTGGACAGACAGTGCATAATGTATGGCCGGAGCCGGCCGCTGCATCCGGGACAATGAGGGTTCCTGTGCGGTGCTGGGCCGGGCTCTGGCCGTGGATGCTCATGGCTGGCCTGGAGGTGGTGTTGGGCCACACGGGCCTGGAACTGGCCGCTGCTGTGGAGACCGAACGAGCCCTGATCAAGGTGACCCTGCTGAAGCAGGAGTCCACCAGCAGGCCCATCATCACCCTGGAAGGGGTGTTCGCCGGGGGCAGCGCAGGCAGTGCCAGAGGGAAACTCATGCAGGTAAGACCTGGGAAGAAGTTACCCAATAATCCTGCCATTATGAATCGAATCGAATTGCTTTGGTTCTGCTTTTGGAAGAAAGCATCTGCTAAATGCATAAATGTAAATGACACAAGATCTGTGAGGGAACACTGATGTGCGTCTTCTTCAGGCTTTAACTGGCAGACACTGGCCCTAAAAACTCTGAATATCATTGCATTAGATATTAGATTAAAGTGTAAAGAAACGGCAGGGCACAATAAAAGCAGGGTAACACTTTATTTTACAGATGTTACATGTACTTACCATAGTAATAACTGTAAATTATGCATATTTACATGCAACTAACCCTCAACCAAACCCTAATCCTACCCTAACCCTATAGTAAGTACATGTAGTTAATTATTATTACTCAGTACTTCAATGTATAATTACACTGTAAAAATGACACATTCAAATAAAGTGTAACCAAAACTTTTTTATTTTTATTTTTTGGGCCACTGTAGATATTGTCATACACTCTTAAAAAATAAAAGTACCATGAAGTTTTCACAGCGATGACGTAGAATAACTATATTTGGTTCGCCGAAGAACATTCTTAAAAGAACCATTTTGTTTCTTAGTGTGAAGAACCGTTTTCCACTATAAAGAAACGTTTGATCAACGGAAAGGTTCCATGAGTTCCACAACACTAGTCGAGTTGCCCAATAATCCTGCCATTGTATATTATGAATCGAATTGCTTTGGATAAAAGCATCTGCTAAATGCAAAAATGTAAATGACACAAGATCTGTGAGGGAACCCAGCAAGCAGTCGTTAACTTTAGACCCGATATAGTCCGGCGATGAGTAACACACTTCTAGCCAAAATAACCTTGAATTTGGTTACATGTCATTTTTGCCCAAATAACTTGTGAGATGTATGATATTCAATCATGTAAGCAAAGTAAACACTGATTACAAGGTGTTTGGTTTCATTTCTTTGACATGTTGTCTAAATGATGACTAGTCTATTCTTGGGCTTTGGTTTTTTAGACGTTTATTACATTTTCACTGACAGCCCAAAGTTCGCCTTGTTTTAGCCTAGACGTCTGAACGGCTATTAGACGTCTTTTAAACGCAAAATCGCTTGCTGGGAACACTGATGTGCGTCTTCAGGCTTAAACTGGCAGACACTGGCCCGAAAAACTGTCTGAATGTCATTGCATTAGATATCAGATCAAAGAAAGTGTAAAGAAACGGCACTTCTTGCAAATTAAAAGCAGTTCCTTTCTGTGTATTTTTATTTTTTGAGGCCACTTGTAGATATTGTCATACACTCTTAAAAAATAAAGGTTACAAGAAGTAGGTTTTCACCGTGATGACGTTGTAGAATAACCATATTTGATTCCCTGAAGAAGTGAACATTATTAAAATAACCATTTTTTTTGGTTACACTTTATTTGAAGGTGTCATTGTTACAGTGTGATTAAATATTTAAGTACTGAGTATTATTACGGTAAGCAACTACATGTATTACTATAGGGTTAGGATAGGATTAGGCTTTGGTTGAGGGTTAGTTGCATGTAATTATGCATAATTTACTGTTATTACTACGGTAAGTACATGTAACATACGTAACAAGGACACTGTAAAATAAAGTATTTCCATTTTTTCTCATTGTGAAGAACCCTTTTCCTCTATAAAGAAACTTTTGTTTAATGGAAAGGATCCATGAATGTTAAAAGAACAATGAATGCTAATTATTCATAAGAGTGTGTAGTATAAGAAGCACCAGCTATACTGTGTGTGATCAGAGTTTGTTGATGGCACAGAAGTGTACAGCACAATGGTCCGGCTTCGGGATCGCTCTCCTGGGAAGTCGTCGAATGCGTTTCTGTGGGTGCCAGAACCCGCCCGGTCGGGTCTTATTGGAGGTGATAGATTTGTGGTCTTGTAAACTGTTAGGTCTGTTCTCCGAGGCCATTCTGCCAGATGTTGGGGCTTTGAAGGGTTCGAGTGCGGGAGCCATCCAGATCAAGCCAGAGGGGATGCGCTCACTGGAAATGTATCTTGAAAGCCTGTAGGAAAGAGTTATTGCACCATAAAAATAGATTTCTTGTTAGTGGAATGTGTGTGTTTGTAAGAGACATTTCATGTTGAGTTTGAGTCTTGACTTTGACTTCACGGGTGGAGAAAGTCAAGTCAACTATTTTACCTGTTGTCACTGTCGCGTTTGACTTGCTTAGTTGGTGACATTTAATATTCAACAATAATATTGATCTCCTGCATTGACACCATTATATGAGAACTGAACTGAGCTGGACGATGACATCACGGTTTCTCCAGAGCGGCTAGATATATAAATTAATAACTTTTTACAACACAAATTAGCCGTCACTGCGCTATGACGCTATTTTCAACTAGAAACAAACTTTGTTGCATTTTATTAATCTCTGTAAAGCTGCTTTGAAACAATCTGTATTGTAAAAAGCGCTATATAAACAAAGCTGTTCATAGCAAGTTGTAAATAGATTTGTGCATTTTCTGACTAAAGTGTGAGCGCTTCTGTGTTGTAGGTGTTGCTTTGTGGTTGCTAAGGTGTTGTGAGCGGTTGCTAGGTGGTTTCTTGTGAAAAAGAGTCCTCCCTCAAGTCTCTGTGATATTCTGATCTCGCTTCGGTGTAAGTCTGAGAGATTGCATTAGTTGAAAATCCCAGGTCTCTGTACGTGTGGAGGTGTTATTCATGCCGCCGGTAACTAGTATCTACATGCAGAATGTACAGTGTGAATCAAGCCCGTGCAGAAGAACACTGCGGTTGCAGATCTGGGTTTGTAGCTCAAGGGTTGAAGAACTGAGGAGTTGC